CTGACTCAAGTCATAATCTTTACAATGGCTTCATATGTGCTCCACAACTGGGCAATAAAAAAGGAAGACTGGAGACGAATTGATACACTTGAATTATAGTGTTGGTGAAGAATATTGAATATACTATAGACTTTCAATGGTATTGAAGGAAGAAGTTGAAGCTGCACGGAAGGAATTGGCATAAAACAAGGCTCTAGGAATTGACAGAATACCCACTGAAATGTTTCAACAAATGGATGCCATGCTGAAGGCACTTACTTGTACATAGGGTTGCTATGAGTTGGAGCTGACTCAACAGCACCTAATAATAACATAGACTTCCAGAAGAATGAACAAATAAATGCTCCTTAAAAGCAAGGATGGAGAGAGTTCATCTCACTTACTGTGGACAAATCATCAGGAAAAACCAATTACTAGTAAAGATTATCATGTTGGTAAAGCAGAGAGTCATCAAAATGAGGGAAACCCTCTATGAGATGGATTGACAAACATATCATCAATTGTGAGTACAGCACAGTACCAGGCAATGTTTCATTCTGTTATAAATAAAGTCTCCATGAGTCAAAGCCAAGTCAAAAGCAGCTAACAAGAATAGCATGGGAAGAGGGTGTTCTGGAGTCAAGGAGTACAGATGGACAGCATAAAGGCAACAAATGAACACTGTCACTGGTCCATGTGACCACATTCAGACCTTACCTCTCACAGTCAGTGTTGCTGAGGTCTTCTCCTGCCCACACACACATGAGTAGTCCCCAGCATCTGCTACAGCCAGGCTACGGATCTCCAACTCACATGTGGTCCCATTCTGCCGCAAACTGTATCTGCCCCCAGTGCTGAGGGTCTCTGGGCCCTTCCTCCACTCCACAGGGGCTGCCTTGCTTAGCTCACACCGCAGCAGGGCCGTGTCCCCTTCCGTGGCCTCCTTGCTTCTCATCTTTCCTATGAACTGGGCAGGCAGGGCTGGAAAAAGTTCAAATGGACATAGGCACACCACCTTCAGCACGGAAACACTGATGGAAAGGGGCCTGTGGGATGAGGGAGCAAGTAGGTATAACATTACCCTTCACAGTGAGTGTGGCCATGGTTGTCTGGTCCCCAAAGGAGCACGAGTACTGTCCACTGTCCTTGGGCTGCAGGTCACGAACCACTAGCTCCAGCATGGCTCCCTCCTGCCGCAGGCCATACTTGCTACTTGGCCGCAGGACCTTGTCCCCATAGCGCCACTGCACAGGCGCAGCCACAGAAGACAGTACACAGCGCAGCGTTGCAGCACCACCCTCCAGCACTTCCATGTCCTTCAGCCCTTCCCGGAACCGCACTGGCCGTGCTGTGGACAGTCAAGGCTCAGCAAACCCTCTGCATCAAGATCTCACTGGGTCCCTCCTATCTCAAGTGGTAGAGGGCATGGCACAGGAGAAGCCAGGTGGGGGAGCAGCCACAAGAGAAAAGGATGGATGGGGACAGCCATGAAGACCAGAAGGGCAGAAGACACAGGGGTAGCAGAAGATAGGACAGGTCACACAATCCAGAGGTGAGGAGAACATAGAGAGCAAGAAACAGAGCAGAAGCCCAGAGACAGGGAGAAACAGAGCGAGTTAGGGTTGCTGATACCACCAGAGGAGACAGTACTGAGATAAAGCAGAGAGACAAGCCCCACAGGCAGAGGGGCAGAGATGGGCAGAGACAAGTGGAGATGGGGTGGAGGGAGACAGGGCAGAGAGGAGCAGGGACGGGTAGAGATGGAGTGGAAGCAGGGCAGTGATGGGGTGGAGATGGAGCAGGAACAGGCAGTGATGGAGGTGAGATGAGGAGGAGAGTCAGGACAAGGAGAAGAGAGGGCCAAGACAAGGCAGAATGGGGCAGATGCAGGGTGAAGATGGGTCAAGGATGGGGAGGTAATAGGGTGAAGCTAGGGCAAAGATTGGTGGAGATGGGGTAGGGATGGGGTGCAGGGCCAGGGTCCACAATCAGAGGGGTAGAAAGAAGTGGATCTGAGCTGGTTATCATTCTGGGGAGCTCCCCACTTCAGGCTTCTTATAGATTTCCCCCTCAAGTGCCCACCCTGCCCTAAGTGTGCCTGAGAGCCACAGGCACTTGGAGTAAGGTCAGGGTCTACCCAGCCCTCCTGTCCTGCCCACTTGCCCAGGTTCACCTTGGACCCTGACAATGGAGCTGCTCCAGGTGCCTCCTGCCTCACACTTGTAGCGCCCACTGTCCTGCACAGTGGTGTCTGTGATGACCAGCTGGGCCTGGCAGCCCTCATAAGTCAGCTGGCACCGGGTTGAGGGCCGAAGAACTTTCCCATCCTTGGTCCAGTTCACGGGGCTGTCAGGTATGGTGGTCTCACAAACAAGAGTCAGGTCATCCCCCTCAAGGACCGTGGCATCAGTGAGCTCCCGGAAGAAGATGCTTGGCTTCTCTGGGGGTCACAGAAGGGTAGCAAACTGTATGAGCTTCATGTCACCATGTCAGCCACTCAAAGGGCCCACAGGTGAAGCCCCAAGGCAGGGCCATCTCTCCCCTTTGGCTGGGGTCACAAAAGAGGCAGTCAAGGGGTCAGTGTGTACTTGCATAGCCCCTCAGCCCAAGGGGACACAGCTTGGCTCATACCATGCTGGCAAGGGCTCAGGAAGTCTGCACACCAAAGATGACAAACTTATCCTGAAAAAGCCCAATTGAGCCTTGCAAGCTCATCTCCCAGGGGTCAGAGCTCCCTGCCCCCAACATGCAGCCACTGTGCCTTCTTGTTAGCCCCAAGCAGCACGTCATGTGCCTTCACACATGGCTCTCAACAGCAAGGACTTCATCTTTCTGACCATTGTACCCCACATAGTGCTGGGCACATGTCCTTACTCTAGGGACACATGACCTACCTGTGACCCGCAGTGTGGCCGAGGCCCGCTGGTCACCTGCCTCGAAGTGGACAGTGCCTGAGTCCTTGAGTGCAAGCTGCTGCAGGGTCAGCATGTGGTAGCCCCCAGGCTGGACCTCAATTTCATTGAGCTCATTGGCATGCAAGGGGGTTTTGTCCAAGAACCAGTGGACAGGTTCATAATCAGCAGGGGAGATACGGCAGCGGAAAGTGGCTGAGGAGCCCTCCCGCACCTCCAGGTCCTCCAAGTCTTCAATGATGCAGACACTCTGGCCTGCAAGGGCACAGAAGGGCAGATCAGGGACATCAGCCACCTAGCCAAGGAAATACAGCACTACCCAGACCTGGGGGGCCCATGCCGGGAGCTGGAGAGACTCTTAACGAGCTCATGCTGGCAAAACTCAGAAAAGAGTACTTGGATCACAGATGAGCTGCCTAAAAAATATTTTGGGTTAACCTATGGGGCCCAGACTCACTTCCACCTACCTCTCTGTCCTGAAAAGCATTCTGGGTAAGTCCCACAGCCTGTGGAAGGCCTGGGGAAGGACAGCAAGGTCCCTTCTGGCCATACCCACTCCTCTGCCCCAACCGAGCTGTACTAACCAAGAGTGGCTGTTTTCAAACTTGTTCACGCAGTTTGGCTTGTTATTATAACCATATAACGAAACTAAATTTTACATTAACAAATGAAATAGCAGTGTGAAGAAAGAGTTGTGCCTATATTAATAAGATTTTGAGGGCTTGAAAAGGTGGATTGCTATGAAAAAACTTTTGGCTACTGAAATAGCCAAAAAAGATATGGGGAAAGATTAGAACCCATCAAGTTGGTCCCAACTCATAGCAACCCCTCCTTGGGTTTCTGAGGCTGTATCGCTATGGAAGTAGATTGGCAGTCTTCCTTCCAAGGAGTGGCTGGTGGGTTTGAACCACCAGCCTTCTGGTTAGCAGCCAAATGCCTTAGGCACTGTGCCACCAGAGCTCCCAAAGATTATAAAGAATCTGTAAACAGTGAGAAAGATTCTGTATTCAGATTATGTTTGCATTCACAAGTGTCTTGAAGCTATTACTCCACTTTATAGAAACTGATGCTGGAAAATGTAGATAGTGCACTATGAGTACAATTTATACAAAAGAGATAAGGAACTATGGTCAACAGACCAAACGTAAAGAAAATGCTGGCCCACACCAACAGAATGGCGAACATTTGTAATTTCCAAATGTTTAAAAGAGCATGATTGTTATTTAAGGAGCTCTGGTAGTGTAGTGGTTAAGCATTTGGCTGCTAACCAAAAGGTTGGTGGTTCAAACCCACCAGCTGCTCCATGAAAGAAAGATGAGGCAACCTGTTTCTGTAAAGATTTATAGCCTTGGAGACTCAATGGGGATAGCTAATTTTATGACTCTTGGTTTAATTTCCATTTTTTATTAAGTGGGAATATAACTTTATTAGATAAGAGGGCTTTCACTATGGTAACAAAAATGTTTTTGCGGAATTAAAAAGTACAATGGGGGGGGGGAGTGAGGCTTCCTTATTTACATAACTACTAATTATCATTGTGGCCTCTCTAGTGCCAAATCCTGTTATTTCCAACAGAGAGACCACAGAGTGACTTCTGGCAAATACCACTTGGCTTCCAGCCCTAGAACTCAGTAGCTTGATGAAGGCTGAAGTCAGAGGGTGGGGTCCAAACCCTGCCCCAATGCTAACATGTCTTGTGACCATGGGCCAGTTACTGGCTACTGGAAACTCCAGTTTCATTTCTAAAAAATGAGGGGATAGTGACCAACAATGAGCTCTGGTGGCCAAAGGTTGGCAGTTTGAACCCACCAATTGTTCCAAGGGAGAAAAGACCTGGTGATTTGCTCCCATAAAGATTATTGTTGTTGTTAGGTACCATCATGAATAACAGAATGAAATACTGCCCAGTCCTGCACCATTCTGATAGTCATTGTGATATCTGAGCCAATCGTTTGCAGCCACTGTGTCAATCCATCTTATTGAGGGTCTACCTCTTTTTTGCTGACCCTTTATGCTAAATATGATGTCCTTCTCCAGGGATTGGTCCCTCCTAATAATATGTCCAAAGTGTATGACACCTAGTCTCTCCATCCTTGCTACTAAGGAGCACTCTGGCTATACTTCTTCTAAGACAGACTTGTTTTTTCTTCTGGCAGTTCATGGTTTATTCAATATTCTTCACCAACACTGTAACTCAAAAACATCAATACGCTGTCCAGCTTTCACATGTGTATGACTAAAAATACCATGGCTTGGGTCAGGCATACCTTAGTCCTCACGGTTACATCTTTGCTTTTGAACACTTTAAAGACATCTTTTGTAGCAGATTTGCCCAGTGCAATATGACCTTTGATTTCTTAACTAATGGTTCCATGGGTAATAACTGTGGATCCAATTAGAATGAAATCCTTGACAATTTCAGTATTTTCTCTGTTTATCATAACATTTCTTATTGGTTCTATTGTGAGGACTTTTGTTTTCTTTATGCTAAGGTGAAATTCACATTAAAGGCTGTAGCCTTTGGTCTTCATCAGTAAGTGCTTCAAGTCCTCTTTGCTTTCAGCAAGCAAGGTTGTACATCTGCATACTGCAGGTTATTTATGAGTGTCTTCCAATTCTGATGCCACATTATTCTTCATATGGTCCACCTTCTTGAACTATTTGCTGAGTATACAGACTGAGTAAGTATGGTGAAAGGATACAATCTTGATGCACGCTTCTTCTGATTTTAAACCATGCAGTATCCCTTTGTTCTGTCCAAACAACCACCTCTTGTTATGTACAGATTCAGCATAAGTACAATTAAGTGCTTTTGAGTTACCATTATTTGCAACATTATCGATAATTTGTTATTATCTACACAATTGAATGACTTTGCATAATCAGAAAAACACAGGTAAATATTTTTCTGATATTCTCTGCTTTCAGTCAAGATTCATCTGACATCAGCAATGATATCCCTCGTTTCACATTTTCTTCTGAATCTAGCTTGAATTTCTGGCAGTTCATTTTTAATTATTGTCAGCAAAATTTTACTTGTGTGTGATATTAATGATATTGTTCAATAATTTCCACATTATGTTGGATCACCTTTCTTTGGAATGGGCACAAATATGGATCTCTTCCAGTCAGTTGGCCAGGGAGCTGTCTTCCAAATTTCTTGGCATACATTATTGAGTGCTTCCAACATTGCATCTGTTTGTTGAAATATCTCTATTGGTATTTCATCAATTCTTGGAGCCTTTATTTTGCCAATTCCTTCAGTGAAGCTTGGACTTCTTCCTTCAATACCATTAGTTCATGGTCATACGATACCTTCTGAAGTGGCTGAACACTGAACAATTCTGTTCACAGTTGGCCCCTGGACTTGGTCTGACTGATGACACTGAGCTTCTGCATCCTCTCTTTCACAGATACAGTCGATTTGATTCCTGTGTATTTCATCTGGTGAAGTCCACATCTATAGTCACCATTTATGTTGTTGACAAAAGGCATTTCCAATGAATAAGTCATTGATTTTGCCAAATTCCATCATGTGATCTCCAGCATCATTTCTATTGCCAAGGACATATTTTCCCACTACTGATCCTTCTTTATTTCCAACTTTTGCATTCCAATCATAAGTAATTAATTATCAGTGCATCTTGATTGTATGTTTGATCAATTTCACACTGCAGAAATTGGTAAAATTCTTCAATTTCTTCATCTTTGGCATTATTGATTGGTAAGTGAAACTGAATAATAGTCACGTTATCTGGTCTTCTTTATAGGTGTATGGATATTATTCTGTCACTGACAGTACTGTACTTCGGGATAGATCTTGAAACATTCTTTCTAACAATGAATGTGAAGCCCTTATTCTTTGTGGTGGTTATATTTGTGTGTCAACTTGGCTGGGCCTGGTTGAGTGGCTGGGCAGCTGGATGTACTATTCCCCATGATGAGACTGGTAATGAACTCCACAGTGGAATCTACTGTGAGCAGCTTAGTAGCTGCCTTTGGGTATGTGGTCTGCTTCCCATATATAAGAAACAGCTTTGGGAATGGACTCCACCTTATGGCACACTTAAACCATGCATGTAGCCATGTCATTGTTCAACAGACTGCCATGCTCTGCCAACCTTGGGACTTAAACAGACTTGAATTAATTGCCTGCCATGTGGTTTGGTAACATCGGGACTGTGCCATTTTAGTTGTCGACTTTGGGCTTGTTAGCTTCAGCAGCAGTAGCTGCCTGAGTGAGGAGGTGCCTCTAGCTTCAGTGGGCCAGGAGCAAGAGGCAGAGCTGAAGCCCAAGGTTGAGGGGCTTTCACCCAGCCCCTAGAGCCTGGCACTTTGAACTCAGACTTCTAGCCTCCCTAACTGTAAGAGAATAAACTCCTGTTTGTTAAGGCCATCCTACTTTGGTATATTCTTATCAGAGTGACACTAGGTAACTAGAACACTCTTCAATTTGTCATTCCCAGCATAGTAGACCATAATATTGTTCAATTCAAAATGGTCAATACCAGTCCACTTCAGTTTATTATTTCCTAGAATATCGATCTTCAAGTATTCCATTTAATTTCTGAAAACTTCCAACTTTCCTAGATTCATACTTTGTACATTCCACTTTCCAATTACTTATGGATATCTGAAGCTTTTTCTTCTCATTTTGAGTCATGCCATATCAGCAAATGAAAGTTCCAAAAACTCTTCTCTATCATATCATTAAAGTTGATTCTACTTAGAGGAAACAGTTCTTTCCCAGTCATATTTTGAGTACTTTCCAACCTAAGGGGCTCATCTTCTGGAACTGCATCAGACAATATTCCATTGCTATCTGTAAGGTTTTCCCTGGCCCATTTTTTCAGAAATACATCATCAGGTCCTTCTTCCTAGTCTGTCTTAGTCTAGAAGCTCCACTGAAACCTGTCTACTATTGTGACCCTGCTGGTATTTGAAATACCAATGTCTTCACTTCCAGGACTGCAGCAACACACAAGCCACCACAGTATGACAAACTGACAGATGAGTTGCAGCCTTGAAGATTATAGCCTAAGAAACCCTATGGGATAGTTCTACCCTGCCTGTAAGGGTTATTATGAGTCAAAATCAGCTCAATGGCACACAACAGTGACCCTCACCTGACTGAAGGTAGGTGGCTTGTGGAGAGCAAGCAGAATGCTAATGTGAAACTATCCCATGATAAAAAGTGCAGTTCAAACAGAAAGACTGAAACAGTGGTGATAAAAAGCCACAGAATTGTCAATAATGAGGACATGGATAATCAGCTCTCACTGAAGCCAAAGCCTCCATTCCCCAGGCTCCTGTCCATCTGCATGTATGGGCCAGCCTGCACCTACAGGATGGTGGGGGACTCCACCCAACTGTCTCCTAAAGAAGGGATAGGGCTTGAGTGAGGGTTTCTGTGACTGGCCCAGCACTGTGGTGGAAAAGCCACAGTAGTGCCAGTAGCCAGGACTCCCCTGAGCCTGTCTTATATGTGCAGAGCCTGCACGGGGCCTGGCATGTGGAACTGCTCAAAAGCATTTACTGAGCACATGAGGGTGTGAATATAGGAGGTCCCTTGGACTTGTCTCAGAAGATCAAACTGGATGGTCCATAGAAACTGCCCATCACAACTCCCTCCTCTTATGAATGCAGACACCCATAAGTTGTCCAGGGCCATGCATGGCAGAGCCCAGATCTCTGGGTCACTTTGGGGCTCCAGGCTCTGTTTTGAACAAGCCTGGACACCTGAGCATACACACAGCAAGGGCAACTGCATGCAGTGAGTGTCCATGAGGCAGCCTGCAGCTCAGCCTCGGCCAGCCCAGCACCTCACCTTGCACTAGGAGCCGGGCATGTGACTGAGCTTGACCAATGTCACAGGTGTAGGAGTCACTGTCCGCCCGCTCCAGGGCATTGATAGTCAGCCTCAAAGCCATACCATCCTGGCTGGGCACATGTTTGCCTGAGGCACGCAGCTCCACCAGGCCCCTACGCCAGGTCACCATCGTCGCAGGATGCTCCGTCTCACACTCAAACACGGCTGAGCCCTTCTCTTCCGCGTGCACATCAGCCAGCTCCTTGGTGAAGTAGTTCACCTTTTCTGGGGGAAGGGGGCACAGACAGAAGATGAGATCCCTTGGTACAGTTACACTTCATCATGGGCACTGCGGGGCAAAAGAAGCCCTGTGCCAAAGCCTCCCATGCCTGGACAACCTCCCTCCCCTACCAGCCTCAGTTTTCTGCCTGAACAGACAGCAAATTCAGAGCAGGTTGGACTGTAGGCCTAGCCCTGCTGTTACCTTCCACATGGAGGCTGGCCGTGCTCCTGGAGGCCTCTACCTCACATGTGTACTCGCCAGAGTCATTGAGTGTAGCTGCGTGGACAACTAGCAGGGCTCGAGTGCCCTCGCTGCGCAAGTCATACTTCTGGCTCTTGCGGATGGCCTTGCCGTCTTTCAGCCAGCGTACCAGGGCGCCACCTTGGGACAGCTCACAGCTCAGCACCACGTCTTCCCCTAGTGTCACCTTCTGGTCCTCCAGGGCCTTTGTGATGCTCACTGGCCTCTCTGGAGGGAGAGAAATCCACCCCATGAGGCTGCCATGGCCCAGCCATGTCCAGGGAGTGGCAGGGCAACCACTGGGACCACAGTGGTTGAGACCATGGATCCTGCAGCCCTAGCACTCAGGGACCTCAGCCCAGGAGCCTGGAAGGCCAGAAGCCCAGACCCTCCCAGGAAGAAATGTAGGAAGCATAAGTAGGTGAAACAGTGAATCTTATACTTTGGGCATCTGTCTGAACACTGCCATTTAGGGTATGGCCAGGGCTGTGTAGAACTGCATATAGTGGGAACTCTCACATGCCATCAGGCCACAGATCAAAAATGAAATCTTGGCCCTTTCCAGAACTAGATAAGCTCTGTCTTAGAGTGGTAGTCTCCATGACCCCAACAGGTAGCATTGGGTCCCCACAGCCTTGGGTATGCTCACCAGGGCTGAGAGACAGTCATGAATACCCCAATGCTTCTGCAGCTCGGGTCCCAATCTGGCCACATGGGAAGGGACAGGCTGAGCAGCTAAGCAGCCCACAGTGACCAGCCCCATAGCCTGTGTGCCCACCTTTGACCACCAGCGAGGCCTTAGAGGTGAGGCCTGCCAGAGAGAACACCACCTCTCCCGCGTCGCTCAGCACAGCATCCCGAACAACCAAGGTATATTTGCGGCCCTGGCGCCCAGCCCGGAAGTGACCAGAGCTGCCCACCGTCCTCCCGCCGATGGTCCAGACAGCTGGCTCACTGGTGTTCTCATGGGACAGGATGCACTCAAAGCTGCAGCTCTCACCCTCCAGTACCTCTGCAGTCTTGAGCCTCTTGGTGATGCCCACATGCAGGTCTGCAGAGCCAGGGGGACAGATTTCAGTGGCCTGGCCACCACAGAGCTCTCAAGACAGCACTGCTGAGCCAGGGAGCAATGGAACCAGCCACAGAGTACCCCACACCCTGCTCCCTATCCCAACAGCAGGACTGCTCTCGCCATGCCTGCAGCCCCTCAGAGACACCTCCTGGGTCTAAGTCTGGCCATGCCTGAGCAGACGGAAGAGGCCTAGTATCCCCTGGCATCTGGTTCTGATGGGGCTGCCATCTTTCTATCTGCTACAGAGAAGGTGGAGAACATGAAAAGGGTGAGGATCACCTGTGACTGCAGGAGAAGGATAGGGTCCCGAGCAAGGAGCAAGCCCAACCCGGGCACACACTCACAATACTGCCCTCCTCTTTCTTATATCATTACAAATGGCAGAGCCCTAGGGCCACAGTGACCAGGACATTTTGGGAAGTGGAAAAGCACAGTAGTTGCCAGATGTCAGGTACATATGCAGCAGACAGAAGGCTATGCCCTTGTCCAGGAAGCTAGACTTAGATGGCAGACATTCTCAGAGAAGCCACACACCCACAGGGCTGGAGGCCAGGCCATAGGTCCAGGTGAATCCACTCTACCTCCTGCCCTGTTCAGCCTTTCAGAGACTCCATAGGAATGAGAACAGGACCAACCTGCAGTTCCTCTCCCCACATCACTTCCTGGCTACTGCAGCTATGTCCCCACCTGAAGGCCTCCCGACCACCCACACTCTGCACTGGTTCTGTCCAATCCTTCCATAAAGAGCCATGTCACCGTCTTCTGTCAAAACCCCCGACCCCTGTCCTAGAACTCTCTCAGGCAGGGTTCAGCAGCCTCCAGCCCTTTGTTCCCTTCCTGCAGTCCATGGGCTCACCAGCACCAGCCTGCTCCCCGACCTTGCCTGAACCCAGGCAGGCCTTGTTCAGACCACGTCACACCCTGGCTCTCCAGGAAGCCAGATGAGCATCTCCCCTCTCTATAGAGCATAACTTCAGCTTTGCACAGGGTTGTTCTCTTACATTGGTGTCCCGCCCCCTTCCAAAGCCTCACAGTGCCTGCAGGGTCAGGTGGTGTTGCCACATACCGTGCACTTGGACCCTGGCGCGAGTCTCTTCAGTGCCCACATGGCAGGTGTACAGACCAGCATCGCTGTGGCTCAGGCTACGCACCACAAGCCCTCGTGTGGCCCCAGTGTGCAGAAAGTCATACTTGTCACCAGGGCCCAGCTCCACACCATCCTTGCGCCACACTACATGGGCCTCAGGGTCTGAGATCTCGCACTGCAGGGTCAGTGTGCCCCGCTCCTCCACTGTCACATCATCCAATGCCTTCAGGAAGACCACGGGCTTTGCTGCAGGGGGGATAGGGTGAACAGGCCACCGAGGCACCTTGTCCCACCACCCCAAGGCCCAACACTCACCTCTAACCTCCAAGCGGGCGGAAGAGGTGACTTTGTTGGAGGTAAGGCACACAGTGCCTGCATCTTCCCGACGAACACGCTTTAGCACCAGCGTGTGGCGACAGCCCTTATGGGAGATCTCGTGGAAGCTGTCATTATAAAGGGGTGTCCCACTGAGCGACCACTCCACCTCCTCATCCTCGTGAGACAGCTCACATGAGAAGCAGGCGCAGCCCTCCTCTGTGACCTCCACATCCTGCAGGGGCTGTGTCACTGTCACCTCCCGTGCTGCAGTGACACAAAGACCTTTCAGTGCCTGCCCCCTGAATGTAACACCAGCCACTTCCACCTGGCCCTTTGCCGTACCCTCCACAGTGACCACAGTGCTGCTCTGCGCAGTGCCTGCTTGGCACTGGTAGACGCCGGCATCAGCTGGAGTGAGCCGCAGGACACGTAGTTCTGCCATATGGCCCTCAAGCGTCATCTTAAACTTGTCGGAAGGCACTATGGGCGTGGCATCCTTGTACCACTGCACAGCCTTTGGAGGCGGCCGGAAGTCACAGGACAGCACCACTGACTGCAGCTCCCGCCCAGTCTTGGGCTCCAATGGCCGTGTCAACACCACAGGGACATCTGTGAGGGCAGGACATAGCACTGAGCAAAGGCATGAGGGGCCTACTCCTATCCCACTCCCTAGCTGTGTCACTTGAGATGGTAAGGCAGGTGGAAAGTGGGGTTGGGTACACCCAGGAACCCTGTCTGCTGAGTGCACAACATCCCCCAGCTGTGTGAGCAGTCACCTGAGACGACAAGGTGGGCAGAGGAGCGGGCCTTGCCGATGGTGAAGTGCACAGGCCCAGTCATGGAGGAGCAGGTGCGTCGAAGCACCAGGCGGTGCACAGTGCCCTCCTGTTCCAGGCCCACATCTGCCCCAGCCTGCAATGCTTTCTTGCCCAGGAGCCACTTGGGTGGCCGCACGGAGGGGATGGAGGTCTCACACTCGAACCAGGCAGGGGCAGGCTCTATCACAGTCATGTCCTGCAGGCCCCGGATGATGGCGATGGATTGCTCTGTGGGGCAGGATTCAGTTATAGTCTGACCCCAAAGGGCTACCCCATCCTCTCCTCTGGGGCTCTGCAGGGGAGGAAGCCATCTCTATCGTGGCAGCATAGCCCCCTCACCCACAAACAAACACCTCCCCACTGGCCACCAAAGCACGTATCACCCCTCTGCAGGAGTCAGAAACACCACTGCAAGAAGCAATCACAACAATCTAGCTCCTGCCAGCCTGGTCTCACACCTTCCACAAAGAACTGAGCAGTGGTCTTGGCATCACCGGCATCACAGGTGTAGGTGTCCTCGTCCTCAGGCTGGGCATTGGCAATGATCAGCTTTCGGTATAGCCCATCACTGACTATCTCGTACTTGGGCCCAGGCTGCAGCTCCACATTGCCTTTGAACCAGCACACCTGTGCACTGGCTCGCGACACCTGGCACTCCAGCACACCCCGATGCCGCTCCATGGCAATCTTATCCCGCAAGGGGCGTAGGATGGTAACAGGCAACTCTGTGGGCACAGCAGAGAGGTCAGGACTGATGATCAGTGCCCGGCCCCCACACAGAGCAGTGAAAAGCTGAGCCCCAGCCCACATCCCTTTGTCTACAGACCCTCCTCCTTCACCCACAACCCCACCTGCCCACTTCACCCTGTCCCAGTGCTGCTGCTCTCCTGGTTGTTATAAGGGGTCCCAGAAGGGGGATTCATGGGTCTCTGCATACTAAACAAGGGGGAGACTCTGCACCCTCCCTCCCACCCACAGGGTAGCTTTCCTCATCTTCCTGCTGCAAATGCCCTTCCCATGAAGGTCTGCATGCACACATGTTCACACATAGACATGCACACAAAACACCATGTGTGTAGAGGGAAAGCTAGACAGACAGAAGTGCACAGTTAAGAAGGGCACAAGTAGGGGGTAGTCACAGGGACAGGAAAGGAGGAGAGTTTGTTATGGTCAGGGATAGTAATCAGGGCATGAAATCAAATGTACATGAACTGTTTAATGTAAAACAAATTTGCTCTATAAATTTGCACCCAATGTACAATTAAAAAAAAAAAAACACCATGTGTGCACATACATACCATGCACACACACACAAGGTACACACAGACAAACATGCATACACATGCATCATCAACCTCCATGAAGGCCTGTACACACATATGTTCACACAGATACACATACATCATGCACACTGCATGAAAACATATACCATACAGAGACACACACTCATGCACTTACACATGTACACAGAGACCCACACATGTACACAGAGACCCATACATGTATGCATACACATGGAGATACATAGAGACACAATCACACAGTGCCATATATGAACACTCACTATGCACAAGCACACAAAGCACACACATAGACACACAAACATGTATACAGAAACACTTGTATGTACACATACACACCTTTAGCCACTGAGGGCCTACACATGTGTTCACACATATATACACACCGTGAACACACTTTACACAAACACACATGTGCACACACATACACCATCAATCTCCATGAGGGCCTGCATAAGTGTGTGTTCACACACATGTATACACATACAGATACACACATGCATGTACATGTGTATGCACATACTGTCTAACCCCCAATAGCCACACCCCTGCAGGTGCCCCTCACCTTTCACCCGGAGCTGGGCTCGTGATTCTGCATTTTCAGCTACAAATCTGATTTCACCTGCATCTTCTGCCAAAACTCTCCGATAGATCAGGGTGTACGTTCTTCCTGGTGATGAAGGGCACACAGCACTGGGTCAGGAGTACAAGTGAGGGTGCAGTGGGAACACCCCCTCCCTATGGACTACACCAGGGAGAGCAAGCTGAGAAGAGGCCAGGCATCCCACCCACTCACAGCCTGCCCACCAGCATACCTTCCTGACGGATGCGCACATTATCACTGGGCCGCAGCTTACTGCCCTCCCGGAACCACTGGGCAGGCACCTCGTCATGGGATACCTCACAGGAGAAGGTAGCACCCTCCTTTTCCATCACCTCCACATCCTCCAGTGGCCTCACAATCTGGATATCACGACCTGGGGCAGCAAGTGAGGCCCTGCCACATTCAGAGGCAGAGGGCCTGCTCCCCAGCCCCCTTTACCCCAGTTGGCTGAGAGCTACAGGTAGAGGTATGGGAGTGGGAGAAGGCACAACCAGAGAAGCCCAACACCCCCCCTCCCCCAGACCTACCCTCTACCCTGACATTGCCCTTACCTTGCACCCACCCTCACCTTGCACCTTCAGGGAGGCAGAACTCTGGGCATCATGGGCATCACACACGTAGACACCCTGGTCCCCGAATTCACACCGGTAAATAATGAGGCTCCTGCAGGCTCCCTGGGCTGTGATGCCAATGCTCCTGCCCACCCGCAGCTCCTCTCCATCCTGTGGAGAGACAGATCTGGTCAGCCCCCAGAGTTGGGATGCAGTGCAGGGGCAGGAGTCCTGGGTGGGCAGCAGGTACCTTTAGCCAGCGCACATTGGCATTGGGGCGTGACAGCTCACACTCCAGGGTCACCTTTTCCTTCTCTGTGGCTACCACATCCTGTAGTGGGCGGCTGAACTTCACAGGCAGCTCTGGTGAAACAGAAGGGAATGAGCCTGAGGTGGACAGAGCTCCACAGCTGGCTCCAAGAAGGAGTTCCCAAATGGGGAATGCAGGCTCTGCTATCACTGGCCTCCTACCCCTCCGACATGGAAAGACCCAGGACCACATACCAGTAACAAGGAGCCTTGCAGATGTGTGCACACCCTCAGCCTTGAAGGCAATAAGACCACTGTCCTCCGGCCGTAGCCCAGAGAGTATGAGGGTGTGGGTGGGGCCGCTCACAGCCAGGCTGCACAAGGGCCCTGGCTGGAGCCGAAGCCCATCACGTGTCCAGCTGCCTTCCACATCTGCATGTGACAACTCCACCTCCATGGTGACCTTGCTCTGCTCCTGAGCCTCCACCGTCTGTAGGCCGCGCACCAGTCGGACCTGACGCACTGGGGAGACAATGCCCATGGGGATGGGGTGAGCCGCTGTATAGACCCACCCTCCTGACCAGGACCAGCCTCCTGCAGCTGTGCAGAGCCCAATACAGAGCAAAAGGACCAGAGGCCTGGCCTTGAGTTCCACCTCCCCAAGGACCATGTGTAGGCCTGGGCTGCCCGCCTCAGGCTGGCCCCACCTATATAACTCTCCTTTCACTTACCCTTTCTCCACCCCCCACACCAGCCCACCCTCCCTGCCTGTCCTGCACCCATACCCTGCTCCCACCCCTGCCTGCCCTGCCCCCACACACTATGCCCACCCCACCTGCCACACTCACTCTCCACATTGAGCTTCGCCTGTGTCTTGTCATCAGGTGTCTCACAGCCAAAGAAGCCACGGTCGGAGAAGCCAACATTGTGCAGAACCAGACGGTGGTGTGTGCCTTCTGCGTGGATATGCACATTTTCACCAGGCACTATGGCAGCCGCATTCCGTGTCCACTTGACAGCTGGCCATGGCCGCGACAGCTCCACCTCCATTGTCACCGAGCCCCATTCCTCTACTGTCTGTGGCTCCAGCTTCTTTTTGAATAACACAGGGGCCTCTGGGGTCAGGGAGGCAGGGGGTTGAGAGGGACAGTCATCACAGTGATCCCTTGCTAGGGTACAGCAGATCAGCTTAGGCTCCACTCTAGCTGTCCACAGTTCTACTCCAAGCTGGGTGTGTGGCCGAGAAGCACAGCCTCGGTTCTGGCCATAGTCACACACCTGAACTCTATGGGGAAAATGCAGGTCCGGGAGGCTGCACCTCCTCTGGCCCCTCTCCATCTCCTGCTGCCCTGTCCTGAACAGCTGTTCCCTCCCACGATGCCTGCATGGTTTCATACACGTAAATACCGGCTGCACACCGTGCATTTTAATAAAGTCCCAGGGACCCATGGGCTTCCCATCTGCCCACATCACTCTCTTACTCAAGAGCCTACAATGAAGTCCTTCATTGTAATACTCCAATAAACCCCACCTCCTATCTAGTGTCAGCTTGTGCACCTAGTTTCTGCTCTTTCTCCATACCTCTTCTTTCCTCCAGGCCCAGCCCATGCTGCCTCTGGTGCACACTGAGCTCATTCCTGCCTCCTGGCCAGACATACACTGCACTGCCAATCCCATTCCCTCCAACCTCAACATCCATCTACTCAGTGTGGGCTACTGCCTCCAGGAAGCCTCTCTGGACCACTCAGCATCCAAAGTGCCTCCCCCAGGTACAGGGGAAGGATTTACTTTCTCCCCTACAGAGAAGGTGGCAAGTCTCTCAGACCCACCCTGAACCTGCTCCTCTCTCCAGGACAAAAATTCCATCTGTCCCCTCTAAGGCCAGTCAGACAAGCTGGACACAGGCCCAAGCACTGTGGCCACTTTGGATGGGAGACACCTGTAGCAAGAGGAGAAGTTATACCAGCTTCCCCCAGGTCCTGAACTCTCACAACTCTCACCTCGGACCCTGAGAGCTGCCATGGAGGTCACACCCTCAGCCTCTGCCTTGATCTGGCCTGCGTCCTCTAAGGCCAGGCCAGAGATGGTCAGGCTATGGCTGGCACCACTCTGTGATATAAGAAACTTCTCACTGGGCTTCACCAGGGTGTCATCCCAGTACCATGTGACTGCAGCATCACTGGGGGACACCACACACTGGAAAATGGCCTCCTGACCCTCCTCTGCGACCACGTTGCTCAGCCCAGATGTAAACTTCACCACACGGGGAACTGCAGAGAGATGATCAGCTTGAGGGGTGGGGTGAGACAGGGAAGGAGTAGGGAGGAGAGAGAAGGGGAAGAGCAGATGGGTCAGGAATGTGAAGGGAGAGGAGGGAGGAGACGGGGCAGGGAGGGACATGCAGAGCAGACTGGAGGCATGGCTCAAAGGTTGCCAACTACAAGTTGGCCACACCAGAAGGGCCAGAAGAAGCAGGGTCCCTTGGCCATGGCTGGGGAACAACAGGGCCGGCACCAGAGGGCTGCACGTACCTAGGACCGAGAGGCAGGCCCGGGTGCTGTCATCTCGGCTCTCACACACATACTCCCCCGCATCCTCTGCCCGCAGGCCGCTGATGGTGAGGGTGCGCATAGGCCCCACGGCCTCCATCCGGAAATGCTTGCCGGCCCTCAGCTGTGTGCTCCCGCAGCGCCACACCACCTCAGCCTGCTCTGGGCTCAGCTCACAGGCCAGCACAACGGTGCCACCCAGCTCTCCACTCACTGGCTCCAGGGCCCGGGAGAACCGGGAGCCCACCTCTGTATGGGGAAGAGGGGCATCAGTGTGCAGGTTAGGACAGCAGCAAGGCTACACACGGGAGCCTCCAGGTAAGGCCACCGTGAGATACAGGGTCTCCAAGGAGCCAGAGCTCCCCGTCTCTAGGGTGCTTGGCACAGATGGGGCCCCACAGGGTTTTCTCCCTGATTTTGGGCTGAGCTCAGGACCACCAAGCACCCAGTTCTGGGGGTGGGACAAGCTGAGGGCTGGCCACCGTGCGCATGGCTCACCTTCCACCTGGACAGGGAAGTCCTGTCGCCGGTCGCCCACACGGCAGCTGTATATGGCACTGTCCAGGGTCTGGGCACCATGCACCGTCAGTGTGTGGGTGTCCCCCAGACTGACAATCTCCTGACGCTTGCTGCGGCGAATCTCCACACCATCTTTGAACCACGCCACAGCAGCCACAGAGGGAGCGGCCAACATTGCAGTCAGGACGATGTCCTCGTGCTCCTTGACTATCAGAGGTTCCCTGTGGCCAGGTTTCTCAAGGGCTCTAGGCTCAGGCTCTGGCTCTGGGGGAGGGTTCAGCCATTGTGAGGGCCCTGCAAGGGGACCCTGTAGCCCCCACCTCCTAAGGCCAGGCCAGCAGAAAGGCTTGCCTGTGATGTCCTGTCATCTCTCTGCAGTGCCCACCCCCCAACCCTAGGCTGGCTGCTACCTCTTTGCTGAGGGAGCTCTAGAGAAAACGAGGTGGGGCAGGAGCAGCTAAGTCACAACACGACTGCTCACAACACTGCCATCCAGGACCAAGGTTCAAAGAGGCTACCAAGGGTGAGTGGTGAAAAGGAGCCGCTTTGGATGTTTGCCTAGCACAGCTTCCAGGGGTGTCTACCATGAGGAGTTGCTCCACCACTCCACAGAGCATCTCCCCCACAGGCAGATACTGTAGGCAGAGTAGGCAGCATCAGTGCAGAGAGGCCCAGGCCACCCACAGGTCAATCTCTTATTGCAGGAGATCTGTAGGAAGCAAGGCAAGGATGAAGCAAGCACCAGGGCTAATGGAGCAAGGCTGAGAGGTGTGAACAGCAGTGTAAGCCTCCTCGGCTCAACACTTATGGGGCAGAGTAATGCCTCAAAAAGGGAGAGAGCACCCGTGGCAGCTGTGCAAAGTCTGATCTGGGGGTAGAATGAGGGTATACTCAGAGAGACCATGAGGGCCACAGAGGAGACCACAGTGCCAGCAAGTGAGGGATCAGGGCAACAGCAGCTAGCTCTGTGTGGCCATGCTAGGCTGATGAAACGGGTATTCTCAACAGTTTAATGGGGACTCTTGTCAGCATTGCAGGGGAGCAGGACCCTCCTCCCATCCCTCCCGGAAAGTTATCTCTATGTGGAGACAGTTCTCAGGCTCCACAAGTGTGAGGGAAGTGAATGGGCAGAGAATAAGGATTATGCAAGGAAGTGGCCAGGAGGTTAATGGGACAGTGAGCAGGCAGGGACAGCCCCACCCAGGCAGGAGAGCAGACAAGGATGGACCAGCCTGGTTCTGGCACTGAGAGGGCGAACGTCAGGGACAGTTCAACTGCCAGGACCCTCAAGTCCAGAGACAGAGGCTCCAGGCCCACTAGGAGCAAGAGCATTTCAAAGTCATGTCCTTTTCAGCTGGGGCTCGTACATGGAACTCAACCAAAAAACATACTGCCGTCGAGTCAGATCCAACTCATAGCGACCCCTCCTTGGGTTTCCAGGGAGGTATCACTATGGAAGTAGATTGCCCAACCTTCCTTGTGAGGAGTGGCTGATGGGTTTGAACCATCAGCCTTCTGGTTATCAGTCAAATGCCTTAGGCACTATGCCACCAGAGCTCCTTACATGGAACTAGTGGTCCTTAAAACTGGAAAGAGATCTGCTAGCAGACCTGTCGCTGAGTGTGGCTAAGTTTTTGCAGCATTCAGCCCTTACCAGCTGACCAATGTACAAGCTTTCTTGCTGGAGAATATGGAAATATGGAAATTGTGGCGGAAAGGGTGGAGAAAACTGTGGCAGATGATGCAGATGATGCCCCAAGCAGCCTCAAGACCCCAAGGACTTCTGGCAGTGGAGAGCACCCTGGTCCAGGGATCAACAGCAGAGGCTCCCGTACAGGTTCAAACACATAAGGAAAAAGGACAAGCCCTGCTGAGAAGTCTCTCCTTCCCTATCCCCACCAATTTGCCAGGTCCTCTTTGCCTTCACCCAACCCTAGCACCCACCTGTAACATCCAGGTGGAAGGAGACCTTCTGGCCCCCGGCCTCACAGCTGTACTCCCCGGCATCTGCCTTGCCCGCCTGCTGTACCACCAGCCGCCGTCCACGGCCTGTGGCTTCCACACGCACCCTCGAGCTCGCATTCAGCTTCTTCCCATCTTTGTACCATGCCACCTCCGTCTTGGCCTGGGCTACCTCACAACTCAGTGTAGCACTGGCTCCCGCCTCAGCCCGCACTTCACTCCGTGCTGGTTGCTCCTTGGCAAACACCACCACAGGCTCTGAGGACAAGGAGAGACATGCAGTCAGAGATGCCATTTAAGTCAGGAAGACAGCAGTGAGCAAACAGAAATCCAGAAGCTACTCTAGGCTCCTCCTCTACATCTGTGATGTGGAGAGGCCCCAGACCTTTCTGAGCAATAACTCACAGCAGTGCATTTATACCTCCTGCTACTGATGGCATGGGGGGTACATTTCCTGGTGGGATGCTTTCTGAGACTGCTCCAGTGCACACATTTTTCTACAAGACTGTGGCATCAGGATGCCTGCACAACTTTTAACTGACCAGATGATGTTACAGGCTTTTCCAAAATGTAGTGCCAGGAACCACTGGGAACCACCACGAGCCACCAGCAGTGCAGGGGAGTTCCTGGGGCTCCACAACTAAGCTTACTCTTACTATGTCAGGGATGCTAACTCCTGGCCATCTGCTGGCATGTGGCTCTACCTTCCTGTGGCTTTCATGTGCACTGTCCTGACGACTGTTACAGGGGAGCTCCTTCTCCAAGTTTATTGCCCATTTCTGTTTCCTTTCCTGTGGTGTCACTGTTCAAGTTTTTATCCAGTTTTCAATATTTTTGCCTGTCTTCTTCACATTTGTTTAGGAGCTCTTTGCATATGTAAATGCTGGGGCACTGACAGTTAAGAGTGTTGTAAATATCTTTCCCTCTGGTGGCCTAGTGCCTAAGGCATTTGACTGCTAAAGAAGGCGGGCAGTTCAAACCCACCAGCCACTCCTCTGAAGGAAGATCGGGCAATCTACTTCCATAGAGATACTGCCTCAGAAACCCAAGGAGGGGTAGCTATGAGTTGGCTCCAACTCGACAGCTGTGAGCTTGGTTTTGGTTTGGTATCTGTGTAGCTTACCTTTTCACTCTTGTATGGTGTCATCTGATAAACCAAAGTTCTTAGTTCTAATGTAGTCAAATATGTCAATCCTTTGGGGATGGTTAAGAAATCCTTCCTTACCCTAAAGTCATTAGATAGTCTATGTTACCATCTAAGAGGTTTATTGTTTTATCTTTCACATTACTCTAACCCACCTGGAGCTGACTTTTTAGTGTGGTGTGAAATTTTATTTTCCCCACAAGATTAAATGGTTCAAGCACTGTTTATGAAAAGACCATCTACGCTAGTTTAGGTTATGTGTCAACTTGGCTGGGCCTGGTTTTGATTGATTGGGCAGGTGGTTATAGTTATTCCCCATAATGGAATGAGCAATCAGCTCCATGGTGGAACATGGCACGAGCAGTTGAGAAGCTGCTTTAGGGATGTGGTCTACTTCCAGTATATAAGGAGAAGCTTTGGTGATGATGTGCAGCTTTTTGGCATGTTTGGACTCTGCATGTAGCTGAGACTTCATTTAGCAGCCTGCCATGTTTCCTACTGACCTTGGGACTGTCTCTGGACTTGAATTTGTGGCCTGCCATGTTGTTTGGTAATATTGGGACTGTGACAATCCCAATTTGTCAATATTGGGCTTGTTAGCCTCCGCAGCCACCAGCTGCCTAAGTGAAGAGACACTTCAGTGGGCCAGGAGCAAGAGGCAGAGCTGAAGCCCAAGGTCGAGGGGCTTTCACCTAGCCCCTAGAGCTTAGCACTTTGAACTCAGACTTCTAGCCTCCCGAACTGTAAGAGAATAATTCCCAGTGTGTTAAAGCCACCCATTTGTGGCAATTTCTGTTAGAGGGGAATGAAGTAACCTAAACACCATTCTTTCCACTTCTCTCACAGGTGCTCTGGTATTAAAAAAAAAAAAAAAAAAGCGGGGGGAGTGGGCCAGAGTCCAGGTATGCATGGGTCTGTTTCTGAGCTCACCATTTTGTGCCTTTAGTAGATGAACAGACCATCTACCCCTGCCCTGAGAGCCTGCTGTCTAGATTACTACAGCTTTATAATAAGTCTTGGTATCTGGCAGAGCACACACTCTCACTTTGGTCTTCAAGAATGGCTTGGCTGTACTTGATAATCAGCCTCTCAATTTTCACACATCCCTAGAAAAAATCTGTGTTTTTATTGAACATCTTTTGAGTCTTCCATGGATACCACTCCAGTGATTTCAATCTTCTTTACTGTTGTCAAAAATGTTTAATAATTTCCCCTACAGAGCCCGTAAACATCTCTTATTAAACTTGAGAAATTAGAAACATTTTACTTTTGATGCTGTTGTCAACTTTTTCAGATTTTTTTTGCTTCTGTATAGGTATAAAAGTGTGTTTTATAGAATGATTTTGTATATGGCAATCTTCCTCAACTCTCTTACTACTCTAATAATTTATCTTTTGGTTATCTAGATTTATAGTCATATCATATATGAATGACACTTTTGTTGTTCTCCAAATTTTATACCTTTTATCTTTTTTCCCAATTTCTCCACTGTATAATATTGCATAACAGTAGAGATAGTGGGCATCTTTGTCTTGTTCCCAATCTCAAAGACAAAGCTTTCAAGTGCGATGTTGTTGTTATTGTTGTTATGTGCCGTCAAATCAGACCCAACTCATAGCGACCCCTCCTTGGGTTTCCGAGGCGATATCACTATGGAAGTAGATTGCCCAGCCTTCCTTCCAAGGAGTGGCTGGTGGGTTTGAACCGCCAGCCTTCTGGTTAGCAGTCAAGTGCCTTAGGCACTACACTACCAAAGCTCCTAAGTGCGATGTTAGTGGATGCTTTTTGTAGTATCCTTTATCAGATTATGGGAATAATCTTTAATTCTAGTTTGATAAGAATTTATATCATGCATGCATTCTAAATTTTATCAAACACTTGTTCTGCATTTATTATGTTAAATTTTCTCACTTATTTCCACATTTATTAAGACAATCATGTGTTTCTTCTCTTTTAATCAATGTCGTGGATTATATTTTGTAATGTTCCTAATACTAAACCAACTTGCATTGCTGGACTCTGGCCTTGGACATGGTGGATTATCCTCTTAATATATTGCTGGATTCACTTTGCTAATGTTTTGTTTAGGTTTTTGACTTTGATATCCATAAGAGATTGGCCTGTAATTTTAATTCTTACTTTCCTTGTCAGATTTGGTATTGATGTTATGCACACTACATAAAAATGAGTTGGTGAATATAACTTCTGTTTTTGTTCCCTGGAAATCTCCTTAAGTTTGAAAAATTTCCTCCTTGAATATCTGGTAGAATAGTCAAGCAATCTGGGCTTTGATTTTTCTCTGTGAGATTTATTATTATTATTATTATTACTAGCTCCATTTGCTTTAAGGTAATAAGATTGTTTGAGTTGTTGTGAAAGGAAGCAGTCTGTATGTAGACTGGGGCCTTTCTCTGTAACCCACTAATGATCATATGTGCCAGCCTGACTTCTTGGACAGGAGGAGAGTGTGGGCTGACTCCTTCTGGAATGTCTTGGCCCAAAACACATCCCATCGTAGCTGGTCACTTATCACACATTCCTCCCTTTTGCCCTGAGCACATGACAATACCAGGAGATGCCTGGCTAAGCAAGTGTATTGTATGGCACCTGGACAATCTCCACTTCTACATCTGTTCCTTGGCTGCAGAGCAAGACTCGCCGACTATGGAGGACCCATGGTCACTAGCGATACTGACCTTGTTCTGTCTCTTCTCTATGTGAGTAAAGCATTGTTCCATACAGTGCCTGCATCACTCATGTCTTTCTTGACAATTGTGACATCTGCAAACTATGGAGTGAGTTACTATTCTTCATGTGGAAGTGGTAACAAGTAACAGCTTGCTCAACAGTTTTCAATTCTTTCTGAGTCAGTTTTGAAATAGATTTCTAGGAATTTGATGAATTTGTCAAAACTTCAAATTTCCTGGCATAAAATATTTTGTAATGTTCTCTTACTATAATACGCCAGAGGCTATATATTGGGTTTTTGATATCTATACACATTCACAAAGCATTATACACTATGGTTGATGTTAGCTGCTATCAACTCAGCCCCTGCTAATGGCAACCCCACAGACAATGGAACAAAACACTGCCCAATCCTGCATAAGCCCCATGATGGGTTGTGGATTAGATCATTGTGATCCATAGAATTTTCACTGACTGATTTTCAGAAGTAGATCACCAGGCCCTTCTTCCCACTCCACCTTAGTCTGGAAGCTCTGCTGAAACTTACTCAGCATCATAGCAACATGCAAACCACCACTGACTGACAAGCGGTGCATGAGGTGCACATGAAATGCACTGGCCAGGAATCAAGCCCAGGTCTCCTTCATGGATGCAAGAATTTTACCACTGAACAAGTAATGGCCGCACCAATCCACTACAGACCATTATGTGGCAGCATCTAGTGGTCAGATGTGGGACTGCAGACTCCCATTAGAGGTTACCAAAAATACCCAAACTCACCGCGTCGAATGGGAGCTGACTCATAGGGTCCCCTCCTTGAGTTTCTAAGGCAGTATCACTATGGAAATAGATTTCCCAAACTTCTTTCTGAGGAGTAGCTGGTGGGTTTGAACCACCAGTCTTCTGGTTAGCAGTCAAATGCCTTAAGCATTATGCTACCATTTGAGGTTAAGACTCAATAAAAGGAAAATAAAGCTTATTCTTAGACTTCCCTGTGACCAACCATGAGGGTACAGACACACATTAAGGGAATTCTATGAAATAAATACTACATTACCAGTCAGGGGCTGCTACTACAGTAACTCATCATTAACAAGTCATGCCGATACAGCGTAAACTACTTATTCCTTTCCATTTCTCAAGATACATGCCAAACTCCAAGGGAAATTTCACACAGAATGCTCTACTGAATACAAAGGGAAGATATGATTTATTTTCAAGAAAGAATCCAAAATACAACACAAACATATGTATTAGAGCTTCCATTTTAAAGCACTTGGGTTTGTGGAAGGCTGTGGTCTGCAGTGCGAGCCCTAACTCCATTCTGAGGTTTGACATAAGTCTCAGACACCATTTGAGTTCCTTCTGACCGTTAAACCAGCCTTGTGGTTATGCAAAGACAAGTTCCAGGACAAACCTAGGGAGGAGCAGTTTGCCTTCAGGAAGAATATGGTTGAAAGCAGATTATGCTCCCATGAAGAACTAGGGGACTTGACTGAGTGTGCCCTTTTCTAATTTAAATTAAGGCTGAGGTCTTGGTATGTTTGGTAGCCACCTTGTGGCTAAGGTTCAGGCTGCATGGTCATGAGTCATAGCCTATCCGGACCACTACCTAGCCAGGTAGTCAAGGCCCAGAACCAATCCTGTAACCCTTTTATATCTTCTGTTATGTATGTATCCTAATCATGATCTTTTCCTCCTTCTGGACTCCTGCCTACAATGGTGATGAATTAATCTGCCACCAATCATGTTTTTGTGATGATTCCCTTTTTTTTCCCCACCATATATAATTAGCCCAGTGGTCATGGCTCATGGACTCCATTCAGCTTTCTATACTGTGTACATGATGATGGTTTCCCTCATCCTTCATGATTGTCTTTGTTTTGTCTTTTCTGGTCCAAGGCTTAATAAAAGTGTCTCTATTGACCCTGTTTGCATCTGGGGTCTCTTTTCCCTATACACATATCTATCAATCCCTCATTCTTCATTTACTTTGCACAGAACTTACTCCAAAATGTGAACCTAGTCCTTGTACATATAGGTGCGCAGAGGCTTCCATTTCTAGGTCAGAGAAAAGCAAAAGTGGCACAGAGCACCCAAACCGTGATCATTTGAAGATCAGGCTTGAGATAGTGCCAGTATGGCTAGGTAACCAGCCTCAATGGAATTCAAAATCTCTCGCTAGTGAGAAGCCTCACACTGTGTGGGGTGAGGACATGTGGGAGCTGCAGGACCAGCCATTAGAGAAAACATTCACATAACCCAGGTGAGAGATCTCCAGGCTCCCTCAGATCAAGCACCAGACACAGCCTGAGTCCTGAAAATCAAGGAAGACAAGGAGGGTCCCAACCAGGGCCTGGGAACATGTGACTAAGCATTCCAGGCTGGAAATAACACCTGAGAGGAAGAAGAATGTCCCCTCTCCCTTTCCTAGATAACAGCTCCTGACTAGCCTCCTGTGACAGAAAACTAACAAGGTGGGAAAATGGGTAGTTTGAAAACACAAGTCTAAAAGAAACAGCACAAAGATCTGTTTGGGTGATAAACCAGTCACATCATCATCTCCAAAGAGGCTGTTAGCACTCCCAGAGAGCACACCTGTGACATCCAAGCGGAAGGAGACCTTCTGGCCCCCGGCCTCACAGCTGTACTCCCCAGCATCCACCTTGCTCGCCTGCTGCACCACCAGCCGCCGTCCACGCCCTGTGGCCTCTACGTGTACCCTTGAGCTTGCACTCAGCTTCTTCCCGTCCTTGTACCATGCCACCTCCGTCTGGGCCTGGGCCACCTCACAGCTCAGTGTGGCACTGGCCCCCACCTCGGCCCGCACCTCACTCTGTGCCGGCTGCTCTTTGGCAAACACCACCATGGGTTCTAGGGACAGGAAGGGACACATAATCAGAGACATACACACCGTACCAACCCATTTCACAGTGTACGGTAAATTTTTCCTTGAGCTCAGTGATGTCATATGTCCTGTGGGCTGTCAGACCTGAGTTCACAATACAAGGACTCCTGTCAAAGAGCTACAATTTGGGTATGTCCTGAATAAAGAGTAATTCCAAAAGCCGGAGGACAGTGGCTAAGAATATTCTAGCAACTTAACTGCAATTTTACTGTTTTTCCCTTGTGACAGTGAGCAATGAGTTGGCAAGGCAGTCTTGTATACTAGCATATCCGAGTGTATGGACAGGATATGTGTTCGGTAAACCTATTCCACCTATTTACTGTGGTAGTGAATCTGAGAAAAACTGAGGTGCTAGTATATCTGAATAGGGTGACTTCAGATGTAAATCAAAACTCCATATTAAATTAAATTAAGATTTTCATTTCACCTTTCTATAAGAGAGCTCAGGAGCTCTGGTGATGTAGTGCCTAAGGCATTTGACTGCTAACCAGAGGCTGCCAGTTCAAACACACCAACCACTCCGTGGAAGTAAGATTGGGCAATCTACTTGCATAGAGATAGAATCCTAAGGAGGGGTCCCTATGAGTGGAATCCAATAAAAGGCAGTGAGTTTGTTTTTTTTCTTTTTGTATAAAGCCAATCAGATTTTTCATTGTTGTTTTTTCCCCTGCAAAAGTGTTACTGTTCAAATATCAAAGAAGAATCAGAAATTCTAACTTAGATAAAGAATTGTTTACTTGCTCTCTTAACTGCTCTCTGAATCACCAGATAAATTTATTTGCCTGAGCAAACATTACTTCCCCTTAGCTGTGTAAACAGTATTTTACATTTCAAAGGCTTCAGATTAGAATTGATTCAACCTTCTCTTCTTTATAACCAAAAGAATGAGTTTTAGTTTCAAGAACTTCAGCTAGAATTAATCTGATCTACATTCAATCACAAGACCCCACTTAAAAATGTTTTTATAGTATGCTTTAGAAATGCTGCCTTAGCCAAGCTATATCAAGAAATAAGGAATTAATGTTTGGCTAAGAAGTGATGTTAAGAAAGTGTGTGATTTGACAATTCCTTGTGTTTTCCTCCCTTCCCTTGTGCTTGCCTCTCTGAGTGAAATCATTTTCCTTTGTTTACTTTACCAAATAAAAACTGGCTGCTTCTCCTACCAAGGAGGGCATGTGCATTTTTTCTTGAGAAGCCCGTGTTCCTGCATTTAATGAAATGCAATTCCTTCAGTAAAATCTTTTATTTTTTAATGGAGCATCAGTCTAGTGTTTCCACTAAGACATTATCAAAGTATAACTTACGTGTAGGACAAATATTGTATGAGCCCATTACTGTAAAAAGTCAAGGAAGGGTTTGCTTAGGGAAAGGAACTCACTTTGTAGGTTACTGGGGATGGGAGGGAAGGAGAGGGGAAAATTTTGGACTAGTTGGCTACACGCTGAGTTGGGTAAGGAGAGGGATGGTATGGTAAGAGTCTGTGACCAGCAATGATAACATCTGGGAAAGAGAGGACACCGAATTGTGCACATATAGATGACAGTGGCTCATACCAGTATATCCACAATATTGCGTTACTAGTAATACCAAATACCAGGCTACAGATAAACACATAGACAACTGAGAAGATCAGATGGGGATCCGTGAACAGGAATATACCCTAGACCAATGATAGCTTCAGCTGAGGATAATCCTGCACAGATACTAGTGATACAAAATAACCATAATCATTACAGAAGCAACAGAAAACAGATGTGGAGCAATCCCTCATAGACAGCCAGACACCTTGGGAGAGAGAACCACTGGATCTGCTGACTCAGGACCATAGTATTGGGGGACATGAAACTCAATTGGCACAATTTAATACATAAAAATCTTGTTCCACAACCTACTTTGGTGTCTTAAAAGCTTTCAAGCGGCTATCTAAGATGCAGCTAATGGTTTCCTTTCGTCGGAAGTGAAGAAGTATGAAGAAAACCAAGGATATTTGGAAACAATCAGCCCTAGGATATAAGGGACCTCGAGACCAGAAGAACTAGATGGTACTCAGCTACATGTTGCATGTAGCAGCAGTTCATTTTCTTCTATTACTGTATAGGAGTCCATGGTATGACTACAACACAATTTGTTTTTCCTTTTATTCTTGATGGTCATTTAGATGCTTCCAACTTGAAGATATTATGAGTAAGGCTGCTATGAATACTCTTAAATATATCATTGGTGGGCATATGAAAATGTTGGGACAGATGGTATGACTGTGTTATGATTTAATATATCTTGCCAAACATTTTTCCAAAATTATTCTAACAACTTACATTCCCATCAGCAATGTGTGAGAGTTCTAGTTGTTCTACATCCTTACCAATATGTGATATTATCAATTAAAAAAATGTATTCCATTGAATTGTAATGAATACATATGTGAACTTAGAGCTTCCAAACTGTAGATGCATTCATTCATTCAATCATTTACACACAATGGACGGCCTACTATGGAGTGGTTCTGGGGATGCTTCACTGGCCATGATAGATAATTCCTCTGCTCTTGTGTAGCTTAGCTTCTAATCAAGAAAGAAAGACAAATAAATATAATCATGATAATAATCATGTAATGCTAGGGTGAGGGCTATGATGAAATAAAACAGGAGAATACAGTAAAAAGAAGGGACTAAGAGGTAACTTTAGATTCAGTGGTCTGAGGCAAACTCACTCAGGAGTGGCATTTAAGCAAAGTCCTACACATAAGAGGCAACCAGACCTTTGAAAAGCCAATGAAGAAGTATTCTAATAGAGATAACTGCAATGAGGATCTTTCAAAAGGAATATGCAAAGTGAGCAAGGAAGGTAACAGCCTGAGCTGTAGTGGAGGAGGCCCTGGGGAACAGCCTGGATTGAGGAAGCAAAATCCCTGAGAAGAGGGAACCACTCAAGATGTGAGCCCACTCCAGGCATCAGCTTTTCCTCTCAGGGAACTTGCTGCTTCTAGAAATGGAGAAATGGAGAAGGACACTGAAAATCTGGGGAAAGTGCTAGACCTAGGGCTGCTATCAAAAAAGAGAGAAACTAATAGAGCTTCTGACATCTTGAAGGGCTTGTGAGATAAAGATTGAGAAGACAATACTCATTCTCCTAAAAATGTCTAATGGTTTCCAAAGTTATATGGGACAAGAGGTTAAGAAGCCAAGCTGGAAACCTTTGGAAAGCAGGGAAGAGTTTTCAGCATCTTGCAGGTCTGATGAGACAAACATTAAAATTCAAGGTCTACTGGGAGCGGGTCCCCAATTCATACCCCAAGCTCTCAGCAGGAATTCTTGGAAGACTTTGCCCAGGAGTAGAGAAGAATTGACACTGGCAAAACGTCAATGCAGCCTCAAGTCCACTCCATCCCAGAATGGATTAAGGTTGTTAGCCTCCCTTTAATTTGTCCAGCAAAAGATAAAGTGAATCCTCTATCTAGAATAAGATCATATCATTCATATTCAGTTACCTTAATATAAAATATATTACAATCAATCAAAAATTTGCAGACATGCCAAAAACATGAGTAAATATTAGAAATCAAAACAAAATAAAAATACAGTATCAACTGATACAGATATTAGAATTATCAGACTAAGGCATAGCCACAATTAATATTTTTTTAATTGAAGGAAATAGACACTAGATCAAAAATGAAAAATTTCACTAGAAAAGTAGACTCTGTAAAATTAATCAAATGGAAATTATAAAACTTGAAAATATAATAATTGAAATTAAGAACCCTATAGATGGCTCTGACAGAAGATTAGATGCAACAAAGAAAGTTTAATGACTTAAAGATAGGTCAAACAAAAATTCATTGGCCAATTTTTCAGAAGTGGGTGGCCCCACCATCTAGAGGCAATGATGGGCCTCTCCTTGTCCAGAGCAAAGAAGAATGAAGAAAATCAAAGACTCATGGGAACAATTAGTCCAAGGGACTAGTAGATCATGTGATCCTCAGCCTATATGATCATGAGACAAGAAATAGATGATGCCCAGCTAACACTTTCAACCTCTTGGAGGGGGATTGGTGTAGGAGATCCTGGATAGAGTGGGAAATCAATGTGGAACAAAACTCCAAATCATGAAAAAAGACCAGGTTTGCTGGTATGATACAGCCTAGTTGAGACTCTTGCAACAATGGTCCCTAGTTACCCTTCAGGCCTCTAACTGAACTCACTCCTGTGGCTTCCAGCCAAACAACAGACAGGTATATGGGGTGAATGTTTACATCAGGTAGATATACTCCTTGGAGCAATCAATCATGGAAGAACAGAAGGGCAGTGTTTGTACAGGGAGACGGCTTGGGGGTGGGGGTGGCAGGAGTGCATGGGAAGGAAGGACACAGGGAAGAAGTAACTACAGGCAGGAAGTGGGAAGAGAGCTGTTACATTGCAGAGCATTGCAGTCAATGTCATGAAACAAAATGTATATGAACTGCTGTAAGGAAAATGAATTTGCTCTGTAAATTTTCACCCAAATCACAATAAAAATTTTAAATAAATAAATATTTTTGTGGAAAAAAAAAAGTGGATGGCTCCATCCTTCTTCCTAGTCAAGCTGGATTTAGAAGAGGACATGGAACAAGGGATAACATTGCTGATGTTAGATGGATCTTGGCTGAAAGCAAAGAATACCAGAAAGATGTTTACCTGTGTTTCATTAACTATGCAAAGGTATTTGACTGTGTGGATCATAACAAATTATGGATAACATTGCAAAGAATGGGAATTATAGAACACTTACTTGTGCTCATGATGAACCTGTACATAGACCAGGTGTCGTGTGAACAGAACAAGGGGATACTGCTTGATTTCAAATCAGGAAGGGTGTGTGTCAGGGTGTATCCTTTCACCATAATTATTCAATCTATATGCTGAGCAAATAATCTGAGAAGGTGGACTATAGGAAGAAGAATGTGACATCAGGATTGGAGGAAGACTCATCAACAACCTACGATATGCAGATGACACAACCTTGCTTGTTGAAAGTGAAGATGACTTGAAGTACTTACAAATGAAGATCAAGACTTCAGTATGGATCCTCGGAAGGAAGATTGGGCAATCTACTTCCATAGTGATACTGCCTCGGAAACCCAAGGAGGGGTCACTATGAGTCAGGTCCAACTCAACAGCACATAACAACAACAACACACTTCAACATAGACAAAACAAAACCCCTCACAACTGGACCAATAAGCAAAATCATGACAAATGGAGAAAAGTTTGAAGTTTTCAGGGATTTCATTTTACTTGGATCCACAATCAACACCCATGGAAACAGCAGTCAAGAAATCAAACATCATGTTGCACTGCACAAATATCCTGCAAAAGACTTCTTTAAAATGTTAAGAAGCAAAGATGTCACTAAGGAGTGCCTAATCCAAGCCATGATATTTTCACTTGCCTCAAATGCATGTGAGAGCTGAATGTTTTGGTTACCTAGTGCTGCTCTGACAAGAATATACCACAAATGGGATGGCTTGAACAAACAGGAGTTTATTCTCTTACAGTTTGGAGGCTTTAAGTCTGAGTTCAAAGTGCTGGGCTCTAGGGACTGGGTGAAAGCCTCTCAACCTTGGGCTTCAGCTCTGCCTCCCACTCCCAGCCCACTGAAGCTAGTCGAGGCTTTTCTTCACTTAGATAGCTGCTGGCCACTGAGGCTGACAAGCCAAGGTTGTCAAGTAAAAGGCACAGTCCTGATATTACCAAACCACATGGCAGGCCATTAATTCAAGTCCATTAAAAGTCCCAAGATTGGCAGAGCATGGCAGGCTGTTGAACAACAACTTGGCTACATGCAGGCTACATGCATGCCATAAGCTAGAGACCATTCCCAAAGCTGTTTCTTATATATGGGAAGCAGCCCACATCCCTAAGGCAGCTACTCAGCTGCTCACCGTAGATTTCATCATGGAGCTGATTACCAGTTTCATCATGGGGAATACTACATCCAGCTGCCCAGCCACTCAACCAGGCACAACCAAGTTGACACACAAACTTAACTACTACACTGGACAATGAATAAGGAAGACCGAAGAAGAGTTGATGCTTTGAATTATGGCGTTGGCAAAGAATACTGAAAATACCATGGACTTCCAGAAGAACAAATAAATGTCCTGGAAGAAGTGAAGCTGGAATGCTCCTTAGAAACAAGAATGCCCAGACTTCGTCTCACCTATTTTGGTCATGTTGTCAGAAAGAACTATTCCCTGGAGAAGGATATCATGCTTGGTAGAGGGTCAGCAAAAAAAGGAAGACCCTCTAAGAGATGGATTGACACAGTGGCTGCAGTGATGGGCTGAAGGATTATGAGGATGGCACACAAGCTGGCAGCGTTTTGCTCTGTTGTACATAGTGTTGGTATGAGTTGGAGCTGACTCAACAGCACCTAACAACAACAATGAAAGAAAATAACCAAAATAAAGTACGGAAAATGGAAGAAAAGGTAGAGTGAGGCAAACCAAAATCAAAGAAAAAAATCTTAAAAATCTTAACCCTCAAAGGAAATAATAAATCTGACAGTTGATGCTTGAAAAGAAAATATGGGAGTCAGAAGACAATAGAATATCTTTAAAATATTGGAAGAAAGTAGCTGTTAAACTGGAATTTGAGAAAATAGCCTTTAGAATTGAAGGCAAAACAAAGGCATTTGCACAGAGAGAGAGAGAGAGAGAGAGAATGAGTCCCAGCAGTTTATCTGCTAGGATGAATACTCAAGAAAACAGTTTCTCAAGCAGAAGGAAATGACCCCAGAGAACGAGGCCTAAATCCTGGCTTTGCCATTTTCAGTCTGTGTAACCTTTGGCAAGTTATAAAACTTCCCTGTCTCTTCTCTTAAAATTCCTAATTAAAGGGAAAGTTTTTATAAAGTTTAAGCAAGGAAACAGGTGAGAAACACTTCAAAAAGGGCCTTTAACTTAGCTTGTAGTTATCACCTGCTAGTTGTTATATTTGGAGATTTGTGAGAAAACAGGACACAAGACAACACCAACCACTGTCTGGTCATACTGCCCAGGAAGATATAGGGGGACTCAAAAACTCACCTGTGACATCCAAGTGGAAGGAGACTTTCTGGCCCCCGGCCTCACAGCTGTACTCCCCAGCATCTGCCTTGCCCGCTTGCTGTACTACCAGCCGCCGTCGACAGCCTGTGGCCTCCACATGCACCTTCGAGCTCGCACCCAGCTTCTTCCCGTCCTTGTACCACACCACCTCTGTCTGGGCCTGGGCCACCTCGCAGCTCAGTGTGGCACTGGCTCCCACTTCTGCCTGCACCTTGCTCTGTACCAGCTGTTCCTTGGCAAACACCACCATGGGCTCTGGGAATAGGGAGGAACACAAAGTCAAAGATACCATCTTAATCAGAAGATAGCAAGGGGCAAGAAGGGCTGAATGGAAGCCAGTAAATCCAGGAGCTACTCTGTGGCCTGAAGAAGCCCCAGACTCTTCTGAGCAACAACTCACAGCAGTGCATTAACTGTCTAAGGCATTTGACTGCTAACCAGAAGGCTGGTGATTCAAACCCACCAGCCACTCCTTGGAAGGAAGGTTGGGTGGTCTACTTCCATAGTGATACTGCCTCAGAAAGCCAAGGAGGGTTGCTATAAGTTGGATCTGACTCCACAGCAGTGCGTGGCATTTTTTGCATTACTGATGGCATGGGAGGTGTTTCCTGGTGGGACACTTTCTAATACTGCTCTTGCACACACATTTCTCTAGAAGACTGTGGGGTTGGGATGCCTGCACAACTTCAACCTGACCAGATGATGCCAGTCTTTTCTAAAATGCAGTGCCAGAAACATTCCTACCAGCAGTGAATAGCAGTTTCTGGTGCTCCACAGCCAAGGCTACTCTTAGTACATCAGGTGTGCTAACTCCTGGCCATTGGCTGATTATGTGGCTCAACTTCTCTGTGGCTTTCATGTGCATTGTCTTGATGACTATTACAGGGGAACTCCTTTCTCTTACTGGCCATTTCTTTTTCATCCCTTGTGGTGTCACTGTTCAAGTATTTACTTAGTTTTCAATATTACTGTCTTTTTTTATTAATTGATCCAAGCAACATTTACGAATAGGGCATATTTTTTCCACATCTCGCACTATGGTTTAAAAAAAAAAAAAATGAGAAGGAGTTCAGTTATGCCTGCGTCTGTTTCTGAACTCACTAATCTGTTGTTTGGTCTGTTCATTCACTGTTCTCCACTGAGATCCTGCTGTCTTAATTACTATAGCTTTACAATGTCTTAATATCTTGTAAACCAAATGGTCTCGCTTTGACTTCTTCAAGAGTTATTTGACTAGACTTCATCCTTAGAATAGATCTGTCAATTTTCACACCCTCCTGTTCAAAAAAAGTATTTTGATTTTGATTGGAAACGAACAGCTTAGAGTCTTCCATGAATACCACTTCATTTATTTAGGTCTTCTTTACTGTCTCTCAAAATGTTTAATCATCCCCAGAAGTGGCCTTAAACATCTTTTATTAGATTTGAAATTAGTCAGATGCTATGTTTGGTAAGGAGCTCTCGTGGCACAGTGCCTAAGGCATTTGACTGTTAACCAGAAGGTTGGCAGTTCAAACCCACCAGCCACTCTATGGAAAGAACACTGGGCAATCTATTTCCTTAAAGATTTGCTGCCTTGGAAACCCAATAGGGGTCGCAATGAGTCGGAATCGACTCGATGGCAGTGGGTTTGGTATGGTTTTATATTTGATATTATACTGTTGCTACTATATATAGAAGTGCTCTCTGCGTATTTTTGTTTATAGCAATCTTCTTCAATTCTATTAGTAACTGTAGTAATTTTTCTTTTGGCTTTTCTGTATAAATAATCATATCATCTTGGATTTGTACCTTTTTTCCCCATGCATTGTGTTTTACAATGTTAGACAGAAGCTGTAACAGTCACCATCCTTTTATTCTCATTTTGAAGCAAAAGCTTTCATGGGATTTCAAGAGTTTTGATGTTAGGTGGTATTCTCTGTGGTATCCTTTATCAAATTTGAAAGGCATACTTTTACTTCCAGCTTCTCAAGAATTTTTATCATAAATTAATGATAAGTTTTATCAAACATTTGTTCTTCATTTATGATGTTAAATTTTATCAAAAACTTTTATTTTGCATTTCTTGAAATGATCATATGGCTTTTCTCTTTCAATCTTTTAATGCCATAACTTATAGTTATTTTCTAATAAATGTTAAACCAACCTTGCATTCTTCAATTATGGCTTTGATCGTAGTGTATTATTCTTTTGATATATTGCTAGATTCATTTTGCCAATATTTTGTTTAGGATTTTGACCTTGATTCCCATAAGAGATTGGCCTGTCATTTTAATTCTCCATGCTTTACCTGTCAGATTTTTGTACTGATGTTATATTAGCAGCATAAAATGAGTTGGAGAGATGTTTTTCTTCTACTCTCTGGAAAAATCACTATAACCTTGGAATGTTTTCTTTCCAAGACATTTGGTAATTAGGGCCACTGGGCTTAGATACTGCTCTGTGAGAACAGTTTTGATTACTGAATCCATTTCTTTAATCATTATAGTACTCTTTGAGATGCCCCCCCCTTTTTTTTTTTTTTTTTTGGCATCAGTTTTTAGTTTGCTTGCTCATCAAACTCAAAGGACTGATGAGATTCTACCCACTTGATTTTCTCCAGAAGCTCCAAAATACAGTAAATCTGGAATAGTCTACAAAGTCATGGTAACATAGCTCTAATAAATACAATTTGGCATAAGGACAACCTTGGACTTTACCATCCTGTACCAGTGTTGTTGCCCAGAGAAGGCTCAAGGTTCCTTCTGTGATTGCTTCAACTCTCCAGAGGGTGTTTTTTTCTTTCTGCATTTTTTGGGGACAAATTGTTGTTGTTATGTGCCATCAAGTTAGACTGAAATCATAGCGACCCCTCCTTGGGTTTCCAAGGCAGTATCATATCACTGCGGAAGTAGATTGCTCCATCTTCCTTCCAAGGAGTGGCTGGTGGGTTTGAACCACCAGCCTTCTGGTTAGCAGTCAAGTGCCTTCAGCACTATGCTACCAGAGCTCCTTTGTGACAAATATATAGGTAATAAAACATGTGGCATTTCATCATTCTTCACATGTACAGGTCAGTGACATTATATACATTCATCTTGTGTTCAACCATCACTATTTCTAAATTCTTCCATCACTCTTAACAGAAGCTATACCCCTAAACATTATAATTTCCTTTCCCCTCTCCTTCCCACACACCCCTGTTGTTGTTGTTAGGTGCCATCAAGTCATCTCTGACTCATAGTGATGGCACGTACAGCAAAACGAAACATTGCCCAGTCCTGTGCCAGCCCCATGATCTTTGCTATACCTGAGCTCACAGTTGCAGCAACTGTGTCAATCCATCTCATTGAGGGTTTTCCCCTTTTTTGTTGTCCGTCCACTTTATCAAGCATGATATCCTTCTCCAGTGAATGGTCCCTTCTTACGACATGACCAAAGTAGGTGAGACAAAGTCTGGCTATTCTCACTTCCAAGGAGCATTATAGCTGCACCTCTTCCAGGACAGATTTCTTAGTTCTTTTAGCAGTCCATGGCACTTTCAGCATTCTTTGCCAGCACCACAACTCAAAAGCATTGAGTCTTCTTCAGTTTTCCTTTTTCTTTGTCCAGCTCTCACATACATATGAGATGACTGAAAATACCATGGCTTGCGTCAAGTGCACCTTAGTCTTCAAGGAAACATCTTTGCTCTTCAACACTTGAAAGAGGTCCTTTGCAGCAGATTTTCACAATGCTATACGATGTCTGATATCCTGACAGCTGCTTTCACTGGTGTAAATTGTAGAACCAAGTAATATGAAGTCTTTGACAACTTCAATCTTTTCTCCATTTATCATGATGCTGCTTATCGGTCCCATTATGAGGATTTTTGTTTTCTTTATATTGAGGTGTAATCCAAAATGCAGACTATAGTCTTTAATCTTCATCAGTAAGTGTTTCAAGTCACCCTCACTTTCAGCGAGCAAAGTTGTTTTGTCTGCATATCACAGGTTACTAAGTCTTCCTCCAATCCTGATGCTACATTCTTCTTCATAGTCCAGCTGCTTGGAATATTTGTTCAGAATACAGATTGAATAAGTATGGTGAAAGGATACAACCCTAACACACTCCCTTCTTGATTTTAAACCATGCAGTGTTCTGTCGTTCTGTTCAAAAATCAGACTCCAGGTCTATGTACAAGTTCCTCATGAGCATAATTAAGTGTTCTGGAATTTCCATTCTTCTCAATGTTACCCATAATTTGTTATGATCCACACAATCTAATGCTTTTGCGTAGTCAATAAACACAAGTAAACATCTTTCTGGTATTCTTTGCTTCCAGCCGAGATCCATCTGACATCACCAATGACATTACATCCCTCATTCCACATCTCTTCTGAATCCAGCTTGCATTTCTGGAAGTTCTCTGTCAATATTCTGCGGCAATTGTGTTTGAATTATCTTCAGTAAGATTTTACTTGCTTTAATATAGTCAAAAAATTTCCACATTCTGTGGGATCACCCTTCTTTGGAATGGGTACAAATATGGATCTCTTCAAGTCAGTTAGCCACGTAGTTGTCTGCCAAATTCCTTGGCATAGACAAGTGAGTGCCTCCAGCACAGCATCCATTTGTTGAAACATCTCAATGGGTATTCCGTCAATTCCCTGAGCCTAGTTTTTCACCACTTCCTTCACTGTAGTTTTGACATCTTCCTTGAACACCACTGGTTCTTGATCAAATGCTACCTCTTGAAATGGATGAACATTGGCCAATTCTTTTTGATACAGTGACTCTGTGTATTCTTTCCATCTTCTTTTGATGTTGCCTGTGTCATTCAATATATTGCCCATAGAATCTTTCAATATTGCAACTCAAGGTTTAAATTTTTTCTTCAGTTCTTTCAGCTTGAGAAATGCTGAGAACGTTCTTTCCTTTTGGCTTTCCAACTCCATGTCTTTGCACATTTCATTATAATAATTGACTTTGTCTTTTCGAGCTGCTCTTTGAAATCTTCTGTTTAGCTCTTTTATCTTGTCCATTTCTTCCATTCGCTTTAGCTACTCTCTGTTCAAGGGCAAGTTTCAGAATCTCTTCTGACATCCGTTTTGGTCTTTTCTTCCTTTCCTGTCTTTTTAATGACTTTTTGCTTTCTTCAAAGTTGTGTTGTCTGCATATCACAAGTTACTAAGTCTTCCTCCAATCCTGATGCTACATTCTTCTTCATGTAGTCCAGCTTCTTGGATTATTTGTTCAGCATACAGATTGAATAAGTATGGTGAAAGGATACAACC